ACGTTCTGGATTGCTGGTTTGCTGTGGGGGGGCAGGGCAGGTAGGCAGCCAGGGAATCAGTGGCTTGTTCCACTCTGGCATGTCCCAGAAGAGCCCTCTCTCCTGGCAGCCCAACACTTGAAATTTTGGTCTTCTGGTGTGGGCTGGAGGGCACTGGCTGTCAGTGGATATCTCCTCAAGCAGGGCAGTTTCTTCAGAGGATCTTGATGAGCTATCCTCTAACCAGGAATAAACCCAGGAATGTGCATGCTGCAAGGATCCCAGGCAGAATCCTCTTTTCAGGAATCTTTATGTACTCTGGCAGCTGTAACCTTTCACTGGGAAAATAAATCAAGAATTAAAATATTTTTTCTAATGCATCTCCTCTGTAAGAGTTGGCCTTAATTATAAACTGAATTACAGCTGTAGGCAGTCTTGATACTTCCTTGGGAGCACAACTCATGAGAGATGTGGCACTATGCTGGATTTCTTGCTCTGAAAGTTTGTGATTGCTTTGGATACTCAATAAATTCTTAAAAAATGTGGTCTTTGTCAAACCATTGAACAAAAAATTATGCTGCAATACTATTTAACTGATGATTAGTTTTGGTGAGTGAAATGAAAGTACTAACTTTATGCAGTTGAAACAGGAGGAAAAAAGTGAAGAGAAAGTAGCTATCAGTGAAAGATGTTTCTGGCTGCTTTTCAATTCCAAATTCAGCTAATTCTACCTTCTGAAAAGAAGATAATTTCCACGTTTCTGTAACTGGGAACACGTAATTGAAGTTATTTTCCCCCAGAGAGAAGAAGCTTCTTCTACAGTGTTTGCAAATGGACAAGAAAAATGACCACATACAGTGTGTTCTGAATGATGGTGCACTCATCACAGCATCATCTTCAGATGTCTTTGCAGATTTTGCAGTGCAGTTTTTACCCATATGGGTAAATATTTATGTGGGGATGGGGAAGGTTCTTGTTGGCAAATGCACCACACTGACTGCAGAGCTCCCGTTTCTGGGCAGCCCTTACATTTGAGACAGGTCTGGAGTAGAAAACATGTGCCAGGGAAGCACTGAAGCAAGTATCAGCTTTGCGTACCAAAATAATTATGCAGTGATTCCACACGACTGCTTCTTTTGACCTGGCTTTTCAGGAACTGAACTTTAATAAGGAAGATGAGCCAGATGTTGTTGCAGCATTTTGATAGTGGCACAAGCAATTAGCTCACTTCCTTTGTAGCATGAAGATACTTTCTGCTACAGGGCTTAACCCTGGAAGTGCTGGTGTTTTCCTTAACATCCCAAATAAGTATGCAAGACAGTGCTTATTTAGGAATGCTTTTGCATCTGCACATGATATGCAATCCTCTTGTCTTCCTGAGCTTGCTCCTGCAATCTTCTCTTCCCTGAAGTTGCTTGGTGTTTGATCTCAGTAGCAAAGGAGGCACTCAGATGCCTGTGCTTCCAAAGCATGGTTCCTCCTGCCAGCTTTTTACTGGGCCCTTTTCCATTTTTGTGTGTCAGTTTATCATCCCTGATGCTTCTGTGATTAGCCAGACAGAGTGGTGCTTTGGGTCTGCAAGTCAATGCAGTCCCTTTCTTTGAGCTGTGTCTAGCTAAGAATGTGGGTATTTGTGTGCATTGAGGTGTGTGCATGGGGAAAAGAGAATGCGTGAAGTTAGTTAACTGGTAGATCAGACAGCAAACTGAATTTCTAGACAGCCTTGATTATTGTACAGATCAGGAGAAAATAGAGGAAGTTTATATTAAACAACAACACCACAACTGTGTTTTGTAAGGAAAGCCAGAGTTATATTTTTACCTTGACTTAACAAAGGAGGAGGAAGGAAACTGTTTTGCTGAAACAAGTATTTTGTATTGGACTAAGGATACACTTTACTCTCTATGTTTGTGTGTGTGCGTGTCCCAGCAAACAGCATGTTCATATGCATGAAATGCATTTTCCTGGAGGCACGTAGTCAGCATGTGCCATGGGAGGAGGAAAAAAGATGTGCCTAGCACTACTTAAAGGCTGGTCAAAAAGGCATAGCATTTTAGTCAAAATAAGTCCAAGTGTCTCGTAACATTGTGGTTGGTATTTGTTATTTCTGCTGACATTGGGTACTGGATAGGAAATCTGCCTGGTATGGAAAAGTGCAATGTAGATAAAATACGAGAGCAGCCTATTTATTGTATGTATGAGGCAGTGTGGCCTCCAAAACCAGAGAGAGTCAGACAAAACTGAAAATCTTCAGGTTTTGGTCTTTAATTTTAAAGGGCCTAATCCGAGCCCTTATGAATTAGTTATGGAGGGCTCCCCAGTTGGGAGTTACGGGAAACCAGCATGGAAATGAGGGAGAGGCTTCACCCGCCCCCTGCCAAAGCCTGGCTGTGGTAGCCTGCAGGTGCAGTGGCTTTGGGTTGCAGAGTGTTCAGTGTAGGTCTGCAACGCCAGGTAGAGCCCCAGTGTGTGAGGCTGGAAAGTGTAGGGCTCCCAGCAGCCTGGATGCAGGATTCGTCTTTGCCTTAGAGCCCATGTGTGATACTGAGCAAATCGCTTCAGCTCCGTGTATCTCACTGCCCTTTTCTGTGAACAGACTGTGGCTTGTGCCTTCTGTTCTTGTCCATTTATATTGCAGGGCCCAAGGGTAAAGGCAGTGTTTCAAATGATGTGTGGACAGAGCCCAGCAGAAGAGGCTGGTGATGACTAATGGGAAATACAGGGATGGGGGCCATCATCAGCTTCAGACCATGTTGTCTTCTCCATACAAAGTCTGGGAAAGGAGTCTCTGTTGATGGAATGGCAGAGGTCATTCTTTTCTGCATGGAAGCTGAAATAGGTACAATACCTGGAATAGAACCTTAAGAAGCTTGGATTGATTTCTCAAGCTAATAAATCCTTGGCTGCACTTGCTGTGTTAAAATATATGTTCAGGAAAGATTCATGATCAGCTCTTAGGACCAAGAGAGCAAAGGGAAAAAAACAGGTTGTTCCAAGATTAAATGTCTTACATTTGACAACTTTAATTGACTTATTAATAAACTATTTTTTTTAAGTAGTTGTAGACTAGCCCTTCTAAAAAAGCCACAAAGCTCTGGCCAAGGGAGTCTGGGTGTTCTGGGTCAAATACCTGCTTCTAGAACTTCTAGTCATGTGAATGGCCTTATCCACACCAAAATTATGTATCCCACAGAGATGACACTTAAATGACTTAGAAGGCAAATGCAGGTCACCATACTGCCTGCCTCCCCATGTGCACATGTAAGTTGTGGTAACCCAAACACATCAGCATGGTTGCATTTGTACAAAAAGGTTTACTGCTCTGTATGTGGATGTTCAGCATTTCCAGATGCTCAAGACAACTGCTAGGCAACTAGAATTCCTGGAGAAATGCAGAAAATCCTTAAATGTTGTTCAGAAAAAAAATTCATAAGCAAAAAAAAAGAAACATCTGTGGGAAAACCTGAATGTATGTTAGGTCCAATCTATGTTCTCAGTCAGGGAGGCTGAATGTGTGGCAAACAGGCCTTGCACAGCCCTTCAAGGAAATTCATCCAGCCTGGGGCTTATTCCAGGTACACTTTTTTCCCTAGGGGACCATGCCACCCCTCTGCCTCGTGAACTGCTGCTACTCTGCTACAGAGTGGGTTTTGGGCAGGCAGTGGGTGCAGCTGCTGCATTGAGTATGTGTGCACAGCAAATCCAGCCCTTCTAGGGGGCACAGGCCCCTGCTGAAGGGTGATGGTGCAGCTTAGCATGGACCCTAGAAAAGGAATTATGATGGGGTGAGGAACATGCAGGTGTTTGGGTTTTGGGAGTGGGTGATTGAAGTATTATCACAAAGTGCCATTCTGAGACCTTCTCTGCATTGATTGATGTCTCATTTCAAATCTTCTTCTTGCCTGAAGGAAAAAAGCATGGAAGTACATAGTTAATTCTCTTGAAGTGCAGTGCTTTAAAGCTGCTGTTCTCTGTTGAACGTCACTGGCTCAATAAAGATTCATCATGTCAGATGTAGTCCCTAGAAGTGGTCAATGTATTGTTTCTCCAGTGATTTTACATTTTCTTGCCATTTAAGTAGTTATGGAGCATGGAAAAATGTTTCCTTGTTTAATATCAAGGGTCCAATCCTTGATGTAGGCAGCAATTAATCAATAAAATCACTTGCTTTACTGAAATTATGTGTTTTATAAATAAATTAGTTTTCATATGCAAGTCTTTCAAGAAAGCAGTGCACACAAGGAGAGCTGGTGTCAGCATTTTTTTAGTCCTGAGATGACTGAGTTCCTCCTTATGGACACCAAACTTAGCTTCTTCTAAGAAACTTCTAGGCACAAGACTATTTCTGTGCTTCTCAAAATATGCCATACTTTTGGTGTTTTCCAGGGAGAAGACTCTCTTAGACAGGCTGCAAATACTGTATGCAGCTGTTAGCTTATGAGGGCCAAGAGATCTCAGGTTCTACACACATATTAAAACCTTTGTATCTCTAGTACTAAAAATCTCTGTGGACCAGCACCTGATCTCACTAAAGTTAACAGCAGGATTTGTGTCGAAACAAACAAGAAGAGAACATAACTAGCAACTTGGGATTATCTGTCTTTGTCCATATACTCTACCACGGAAGAATTATCATTTATGTTGTGTTGTTAAGTGATGGGAACTTTTACCAAGTCTGAACTTAAATGCTTCCAAAGCCTTTTTCAGTTTTGGAGAACATTTGTATCAAGTTATTCTTGGAATAATCTTCTTTTTTATTATTATGTGCTACCCAGTAGACATCTAATTATGAGGCACAGGATATTTCCCATTCTAGGAGGATATATAGTACTTAACTGGATGTTCTTCAGAGTCCATTTTCATTACATTAAGTAAGGTGTTTACTTGCTTGAATCCCTTGTGTCTTAAAAAAATTCAACACTAAATGAAGAATTAAGTTAAACACTGAGCAGCCAATATAGCCCCTTACTGTGTGAATGCTTTTATACCACATCACAGGCTGTTCTTTTTTTTTTTTTCAGAGTGGGTATCCAAGCTCTGGACCTACATCAAGCACTCCTGCCTTCAGACCTGAGGATGAGCTGGAACACCTGACTAAGAAAATGCTGTATGACATGGAGAATCCTCCGTCTGATGAGTACTTTGGTGAGCCATGTCACAAGTGTTTGTCGTCCTCTTCTGTATTTACTGGGTTCAGTAATGGGAGGCCTGACAACTGCACTGGTAATGTAGTGACACTCGTTTTGATGGATGTGCTTTCCATGCTTGGGCTGGAAGTGTAATCATCCATAGGAATTCCTCTGTAATTTCAGCATAAATCTCATGCTCACTCACTGTATGTTTATAGTCTTACTGGATATAAAGTTGAATTTTTCAGTGTCTGGTTCATTTTCACACCATCTGTCCCCAGCTTCCAGGCTACCAGTCTGAATTCAGGTGCAGTCGCTGTCGTGCCTGCCTGCCCCATCCCTTCTCATTGCAGCTGCAAAAAAATCTGGCAGTGTAAATGTGTTCTGCTTCCAAGGCATGGATTTTCATTTTCTGTGTGCTGGCACAGATTAAAAGGAAATCCATTTTGAGTCAATCAGGTTGGTTATACATGGGGACCCAGAATTGGGTCCAACAAATGCAAGTAAGACAAATCTGGACTGATTGGTTCATAACAGTGTCATCTTCCTTACCTGGAAAAAGATATGCATCTAATTTCCTTCTTAAGTGGTATAGAGTATAATTATCTTAGGTACCTATAGGTGTAGAATTATATCTTGCCTTTACATGAAACATAGGTGGTAAGACCTCTGAACTCTGCATTGAAATCAAAGAGTCTTGGGCACTCGATGATGGTGAGATCAATGGATCTGCCTGTGTGCTTAGTTTCTTACAGGCTTGGGTAATCATGTTATTATGAAACAAACTCTCTAGTTTGTAGAGTTAAAGACTGGGGCAGGCCATTCATTTTGTGTTCTTTATATTCCTTTATTTCAACATTTCTTAAAAATTCATTTAGATTGCCCCCAGATCTATTTGCTATAGAGTTTGGTTGGAATGAAACATTTCTGGCTCAAAGAAGCTTTCGTGATCTGGTTTAATCAGAAAGTGGGCGGGAACACAGTTTCACTAACAAGCAAGGATCTTGCAGTGGCAAAGGATCTGATAATATGAGAAGATTAAGATGTTCCCATCAAACAAATATTGCCCTTGTAGGTGGGGTTAGTATCAGTCCCAATTCTCTGTCAGTACCTTCTACCTTCTGTGGCTGCACCCTAATAATCAAAATGTCTTCTCTGTAAACACTGATAGTCATCAGTATTGATGATTATCACAGATCTGAGGTGTGAGCAGGAATGGCTAACTGAATAGAAAATAGCCAGGGAGCATTTTCTGTGCTTCTGCCTTTGACTCTGTCCATAGCCATTTGGGTTCACTCTCTGATGTTTTAAACATGAAACTAGAACCAAATGAACATAACATGTATTTAGCCATTAGCTGGGCCAGAAAGAGGGGGAAATTTTTTCCTGCCCTCTTCAGGCAAATGGCTGAAGCCCTGGAGCATGAGATCTGATTACAGCAATTTTCTTAAAGTAGAACTCTGTGGCGGGAGTTGGTTGATGGACCAAAGCCCATTCCATTTTCCTTTTTGCCCAAGAAAGTAGGCAGATAAACAAAGAAGATTCGCAGGCTCAAGGTCAGAAAGGACCTTGCCATTATACTGCCTAATGTCCTACTCTCAGTTTCTCCCAGGAACATGATTGAATCATGACTTAAAAAAAAAAAAAAAGGATCTAATCTTATCTTAAAAACTTCAAGCAATGGTGAGTCAACCACCTACCCTGATAAGCTGTTCTAGTGATTAATTTTCCTCACAGCTCGAAAATTGCTTCCTGAAGTGAAGTTTTAGTTTTGTTTACCACTTGTATTTATGAAGCTGCAAAGCTCAGATTTTGCAGACTAATATTGTATGACTAAGATTGCTCTGCTCTGTTGGAGAGGGTGGTACATCAAAGTTTCCTCATCCAAAAGGGATGCATAGCTGAAAGGGTGGGAACATAAAGTCTCTCAGGTCATCAATTTGGCTATCAGATCAGACCAATGTCAGACCAATGCCATGCCATTAGCTCTTAATTCAGCAGGGAGACAAGAAAATGGAAAGGAGGCTTCAGAACACTCTGAAGTTTTGCCAGTGTTATTTATATAAACAGTAGCATAATCAAAGATGGAATAATCATGCATGATGCATGATGGAAAAATCAAACAACAACCTTAGTCCTACCCTGGGCAGGTCATGTGTAATTACCAGCTGCACCTGATTGATCTTCTGATTGCACTGTGTGCCACTGAAGTTCATCTCTGAGGTGATGTCCAGCCTTGGCATTCCTGATGTGCCAAAGAACCATGTGTTGGGCTGGACATATCCTCAGCTCCCTGAGCATGCTGTGCCCCATACAGCCTTCTGGGAGCTTTTCTAACAAAACACAGAATGCTGGAGCACAACTGCTTTTTAGGTACAGTTGATGCCTGAAGAGGCTGACCTGGAACAGAGGCTAGACAGAGTAAAAGGAATAAAGTAGGTGTTTATTAAAAGGCCTTCAAAGAATACAGCTTGGGCAGTACCAGAGCCCAGCTGTGGTTCTGTCCAAGATGGACCCAAGATGGATGCAAAATGGTCAACCAGTCACAAGTTTTCACACTTTTATAAGTTTTGGTTCATTTACATATTGGGGTCAATTGTCCAATTAAAGCTTCAGGTTATTCAGTCCCATCCTCCCAGATTGCTCTCCTCAATTCACTGTTGTTTATCCTTCTTGACAGTGGTGTCCTTGGTTCTCAGCTGGGAAAGAATTGTTTTGTCTGACTAAACTGTGAAGAAAACTTGCTAACACTTAATATAAAGTTTAGAGTCACACACTAAGGCAGTGCAGAATTGAAAAAATATGAAAGCTAAAACTTAAGGCATCACAGTGAAAGAGGTAGGCTGCTCTCATCTTCCTAGTTTTGCTCCAGCCCAGGCTCCTCCCTGGGTCTCTGGAGTCACAGTGGATGAAGCTCTCTGATATGGCAGTGCAGGCCGGGAGTTTTGTACTAATTCTGGCTATGTCAGAACTAAATACTCATCTCTGCTTGAGCTGTCAGCCAGTGCCTTCAGTAACTTCATGCTCATGTGGAAAGAACAAATTAAGTGTGGGAGGGAAAAAGAGTCTTTCAACTTTGGTTAACTGTCTCAACCAATATCTCTGCCCTTGTTCTTTAGTTGTTTAGCATGGTAGTGTGGACTGTACAGGATTCATATGGCACATTGATCAAGTAATCCGAAGAAGGACAAATGGGCAGAGACATTGACTCTGATTTGCATTAAATATCTTATGCCTGAGGTCTAAATGCCATGGTAATTGTAGCATACCAGATAGCTGTCAGCTAATCACTTTTATTAGTTTGAATTTAGAAAACTGGATTTCAGCATATTAAAAGTTGGTTAAGAGCAGATAGGTTTTGAATTGAAGAATCTAATTAACCTTGCTAGAAAGCTGCAAGGCGTTATATTAAGTCATGAAAATAATTTGTTGGAATAATTACATTTGAACTGTCAGGCTGGAGAAAGGTCATTTTACTTGGTCTGCCCACACTCTGGGATGTTCTGTGTAATGAACTTCCTTCTGCAAGTTTATTCACTGTATCTCTGGTTTTCAGTCAAGCCATCTTGGTTCTGTAGTCAGCAGAATCTGCCCAGCAGTGGGCTGGGTGAAGGCTCCTTGGGAAGGAAGAGGAGTAGTAGTCACTCAAGTTGTCTCTTTGCCCTGGAAATTCTGTCTGTCAGACCCAGTGAGCTGAGCTGAGGAGCTGGGCAGCCAGCAGTTCCATCCAGTCTGTGCTTACTGAACCTCTCTGCAGCTTCCCAGGTGGAAACCACTGAAAGTGATTTCAGAGTTGGGGGAATGGTTCTAGGCAGGGATTGCTCACCCAAGCACTCACAGCTGGCAGCAGGGCATGGATCACATTGTCCTCCTGGGGAGCCTGGGAGTGTGGTGGGAGCCAGGAGCAGCATGCTGGAGATGCTTGGAAGCAGCACGATCACAGCTGGCAGCTTTGTCTTTCCAGGACTTACCACAGCAGCACAATCCAGTCACTGGGAAATCCTCTAGCTGCCATTGGCAAGGCAATGCTTAAGTATGGAAATATCACTAGGCATAAGAATTTTTTTTTAAATTCTTGTGAATTTTTAGGAGTTAAACGTGTATATTGGGTATTCTGCCTAACTTTTGTTAAGACCAAACTACTATAATAAGTCTAAGCACCCCAATCCTTGGTGTATGTCTCCTCCAACCTCCTTGCAGATTCTGGAGTAACTTGTGGAGTGACTACTCCTGGGAAGTCCTTGGCAGATCAGCAAATTAAAGTCTTTTGAGTCTAAGCTGCTCTTCCTTCTTTACTGATGATTAAGTTGCTGATCTGTGGTAGTTGGCTGTCTTTAATCAAATCCCTTTTTATTAGAAAGGATTCCCAAATGTCTTATGCTCTGTGCAGTAGGGATAGTTTCTCTCTATCACAGCCCTTCCTGTTGATAAATGTGCTATTATAGACAGGCATGTCTGATTTGTTTGGAAAAAATAATACCTAGTGGAGTGGAAATTGGGTAAGGTTGAAGGAGGAGAAATGGATACTTATAGGAGATTAAAATGAAACTATCAAAATTGTTTGTTGGCCGCCATGGGAAATTACAGCCCTTGATTCTGCATTTTAAAAACCCCAACCAAATACACACACACACAGATCACAACTGTTCTGGACCACTGTTTCAAGTCTTATAGAAAGAAATTACTTCTGGCAGCTTATCAGTCTCTATCACCATGCAGACTGCTGATTAAGACTGGAAAAGTGCCATTGGGGCCCCTCATCTCCTGTTGCCTTCTGGACCATGTCCCAGCTGAGTCACTCCCCACAGCAGTTTCCCTGACTGGTGGGAAGAAACTCTCACTGGTATTTTACCATAAATGCTCAGAGCTACCAAAGGAACCACCAACTTCATGTATTGAATAATGTAACAGTCTCCTTTTGTAGTTCCAGCATGCTGTAGGGATGCATGGGGAGAAAAGAGATGCCAAAATCATCCTGTGGGAAATACTCATTTTATGCAGTAAAGGAATCATGAT